GAATTCCCCAGCCAGCCATGCTGGCTGGGGAATTCTGGGAGTTGAAGTCTACCCATCTTAATGTTGTCAAGGTTGAGAAACACTGATATAAACAATAAATCTCTCTCTCTCTCTCATCTCTTTTTCCTGTCTGCGTACTCTAACAGATGGAGAGCAAGTCATTTGTCACTAGGAAGGGTGGTTAACATCTGAGCATTGTTATTGTAACAGACCCGTCTGGTCTCATGCTCTTTGCTCTGACCTTGCTCCTTCCAGCTTCATGGTATGCATATTATAGTCTTTTAAAAAAAGTGTGGAGGATCACACTGGAAATACGTTGAGAACTTTGCTTTTGAAGCAAAAGCAATAAACAATTTAGAGGGAGGAGAAAACTCAGGCAGATACAAAAATAATTCTGCTAAATACTTCCTTAAATGAAATATGATATAAGCTGTTGGGATACTGGTGTTGTTAAGAATGTGTTTTTTTAACAGGAGTATTAAACTCATAGAACATATTATTATGGAACAGATAATCTTTGCTCTGCTTCCTTCTGCATTTTAAAAAAAAATATTTAAGTGTAAATTCTCTTGTCAAAATACTTTTGGGGTCCCTCAAAAGTTTGAAAATAGTTTTTAATATTGTATCATTATTTGTTGCTCTCTTGTTTCAAATTAATTGCCTTTGTACCTCTATTAATTTGCTTTTATACTTAATTTGTTTTATAACTATAATATAGGACACATTTTAATATTTGACTATATCTCATCCAAGATACTGAAGTCAGAAATTAAAAATTCCTTCAAGCAGTCTGTGAACATCAACAACTGAACACATAAAGATGAATCAATAATCAGATAAAGTTTTTAGTTTTATTCCATTTTCATACTTTATAAGTATTGCTAATCAAATGAAAGGAACAATTGCACTGAAGAAATTACAGAGAACCAGGAAGAGTAAACACTCAGCACTTTCATCTCACCAATCTTCTACTTACTTTACGGCACCCTTCATCAATTATATCCTTTTCCGGTGCTTCTTTTAAAGGTTTCTTTTTGCAAATGTATCCATATTTCATATCGCAAGGTTGATCTGCCCAATACCCATCCTGTGTTGGACAGAAGAAGAAAATGCCAGAATTCCTCTATCAATATACTAACTGGGAGATGTGTGGACTTTCTCTTCAGAGCTGATTCTTGGCTTCTCTCTTTATGGCTCACCCAGCTGACTTGTTTTGCTGACAGTCCCTAGTGTCTCTTACCCTTAAAATCCCAAAATCAAGGTAATCCCCATATAAAAAAAATTAGATTAAATGGATGCATGAAATGCAACGAAAAACATTGAGGGGTGTGTTTCTTAGCACTGGGTTAGTAGAAGAGAACAAGGGTTGTCTGCTTAAGCCACGCTGTTCTACTAGATGGAAAGTTAAGTGATTACTGGAAGCCTTTGCCAAGATGCCCCCACTAAATGAAGTTGGATGACTATAACAGAGAAGCCCTTGACGCCGACATGCAAGGAGATCCATCAGTTACCTTTTTTATTGCATATAGGGAAAAAAAATCACCCTTTTCCTCCTAGCTTAGATTTTAATTGTTTAGCCTGAACATTTAAAAATTTCTGCCCTGTAATGGGCTAGCAGCTTTTACACCATTTATTTTTCTTCCTTTTATAGAAACAGTAATTTTTATTACGGAGGGGATTAAAAAAATAGTAACAAATTAAAGAAATAAGTAAAATATCAATTTTTCCATTCTAAAATAATTAGTGCATACCAAATAGTACAGGTAGTCCTTGTTCAGTGACCACAATTGGGACCGGCAACTCGGTTATTAAGTGAAGTGGTCACTAAGTGAAACCGCAACTATGCTGATGATCTTACTTCAGCTTTCCTTTGCTTTACAGACCTGTGAAGGTTATAAATGCGAGGACTGGTCATAAAGTTACTTCTTCATCACTGTTGTAACTGCGAACAGTCTCTAAACAAGGACTACCAAAACTAGCATGGATATATACAATGTATGTGTGTGTGTGTGTGTGTGTACACACACACACATACACACACACAGCAGTGGAGATATATGTGTGTGTGTGTGTGTGTGCACAGTCTACTGTATATCAAAACTACCACTAGTGGAGTGGCATCAGAACTGGTGCAGGTTATATGTTACAGAGCTGAACCTCATACAGTATTTCCCATTGCTGATCTACCATAAGTTGTGGATTCTTCTGTAGGATACTGCCTTAAAATAAGGTAAATCCAATTATCTCAGTATTCTCTAACTGACAAGCTGTTTTTCCCAGCCTTACTTGGAGATATCAGTGATCAAATCTGGGACTTTTTGTGTGCAAAACATGAGCTCTACAACTGAGCTATTGACCTAAATAAAGATGGGAAGCAATTGACTAAATAAAGTCATTATCCCAAAAGAGAATTAAGTAAATTCATCTTAATGAAGTAATGGATTGATTACTACTGGTCATGAGTGTGCTGTCTACTGATTAGTGTTTTGTAGAATTGACCGGTAAGAAAGTTATCTATAATTAATGTGGGAACTAGCATGTAGTAGTCCAGTCCCTAAGGTTCTCTATTTTTAATGCTGTTGCTCTGCTATTGTGTTTCCATTATCCTTATTCAGACATTTCCTATCTTTGATATCCCCACCCACCCTGGTGATCTTCAGGTTCTAACCATGAAGATTCCCCATGCACATTAGGTTCAATAAACTTAAAAGTGTCTCTCCATTTAATCAGTTCACTACACATAGTTCCTACTCATTAGGAGGATTCTAAGGATATTCATCCTAGAATCTGTCTTTAGAACTTCATGGTGAACTTGAAAAAGTCAGGTGTTGAGAAGACAGGACACCAGCTATGGGTCAAAATGCATGTTCTTTCATTTCCTGCAATCTGATTCCTCGCACATTCTTTCATGCAGCCAAACAAGTTTACTGAATGGCTAGACTTTAGAATTATTTTTGCTTTGTTTGGAGCCTAGAGCTCCTGTCTGAGTGGTCTGTCAAGTTATCCTTGACTTCCACTGGAATATTTTAAAGTGAGTAAATCTCTTTCAAAGACAATGCTGTAGTTTTGCTTTTCAAAGGACCATCTGAAAGTTGAACTTTTAGAGAGAGAATACAAACAAGATCAGACAAGATATTTAAACCCAAGTACTGCATCAAATTGGAGATAAATGGACTTGAAGAATGGGAAATGTCAAAACTACTTTTACCTTTCCTTTCATGACCACACAATCTTCTTGCCCGTTGCTAGCATGGGTTGGCTTGCCATGGAGCCATTTGGTGTATGTCACAGGACTCCCATCTGACCATTCAAAGAACATCTGAATCTTGAGATCATTCAGACCAATCCATAATTCATCAGTTGGTCCTAATTCATTGCAGGTAAACAAAAATATATTAATATTTTAAATGTATATGCTGCAATAAATCTTTCTAAATAATCAGTCTGCTACTTACACTTTTACTGTTTATACCTTGCATTTTAATGAATATTTTAGTGTGTTTGTTAAATGTGATTTTTAACGTGTTGCAAGCTATTTTGGAATAATGGGTTTTGGAGGATAGTATGCACATTTTTAAGGTAAAAGAAGAAATAAAATTAAAACAACAATATAATTTTCCTAGGGCATGATAAACATATATCCACCATGGATGCTGTCTCTTGTATTCAGGCATCCTGCTGGTTATGAAAGATCATTTGAGTCACTTTCCTCAACCTGGCACACTCCAGATGTGTCAGGATTACAGCTCTTAGAACTCCCAGCCAGTATGATCAAGTCTCCCACAAATAGTCTCAAGCACACAAGATTCCCACCACCTCTTTCCTTCCACTTTTGGGTTATATGCAGGGACATCCATAAGGAAATCAAGCATTGTCAGCCCCACTGGGTAGACCAGGTCAGGAAATCCACCCCACGGGAAGGCTAAAACTACTCTTATTGAGATTGGCTATAATAGCAGAACCTTGCAAGTCTGATTGTGCTGTAACTCCTCCTCCTTCTTATAGTCCAGTGAATTAGGAATGTGTCTGCCCGAGTCACTTCCAAATGTTATCTTGTTGTTCTGGACTGAAAAAATACTTCAGGCCCTTTTTGCCCAGGCAACAGTTCTGGCATATCTCCGTCAAGGTCAACTTTCTTACCCTCAACAAGCATTGACCATTATGGGCAATGAGAGGTCACAGTCCAAGGTAGGAAAAAAGTTGTAAGGCTGAGTGAAGATAGCCTTACATCTCCCTTCCTGCCAATCGCTCCTCATTCCTGTGGGACCAGGGGTCTTTGTCTCACAAGTGCTACATAAGGGATGGTCTCAAAGGGACCCTTCCTCCATTGATTAGTACTGAAATATGAAATATGAAGGGACTGATTTTCAGCGATAGTTTTCTAATGGGATGCCTCACTGCAGAAACATTTTATACTAATCAGTCAGTTAAACAAGAGCAGGTGCTAGGACTTGACTTTAAGAGGGTTTTTTTTGTTTTTCGTTTTTTTGAGATTTTTTTTATCCCACGTTCATTTTTATAAATAACTCAAGGCAACAAATATACCTAATCCTCCTTCCTCCTCCTATTTTCCTCACAACAGCAACCCTGGGAGGTGAGTTGGGCTGAGAGAGAGTGACTGGCCCAAAGTCACCCAGCCGGCTTTCATGCCTCAGGCGGGACTAGAAGTTACAGTCTCCTGCTTTCTAGCCTGCTGCCTTAACCACTAGACCAGTGTTTCTCAACCTCAGCAACTTAAGATGTGTGGACTTCAACTCCCAGAATTCCCCCAGCCAGAATTGCCCCAGTTGCTGAGATTGAGAAACCCTGCACTAGACCAAACTGGTTCTTGTTGTCCTCCATACAAGAGTAGCCAGCACCAACCTGACCCTATGCCAGAATATAGCAGGTGTTTCCTTTCCATTGGGCTAAAACACTATGAATAAGATGTTACTGCCAAAATATGTACATATGATTTCCTTGGGCTTGTACAAAATCCAATAGAACAGAGCACACAATACTATTTGACTTCCTGCTTTTACTGTCATTTAGATTGTTGCCTCATGACAGACATATTGCTTTTAAATTCCTGAAATTTTCACAGGGTTTTTCTATTTGCTCTCACACTTCTGTCCCTACACTTCCTATTACTGACAACAGAGATATTATGCTGCAAGAAACAGAATCCCGCTCTCCAGTGTGGAATATTGTGGTCCATGCAAAACTCACAATGTTTCACATTTAATCGAAACAGTTTCTGGATTTGATACACATCAAGAAAATTGCACAAAAATACATAATGTATGAAGTTGTTATCCACCACAGTTGTGGTGCTTATATATGGAGAAGTCTTGATATCTCTGATAGAGGCCAAATATTTTCAGTATCTAATTATCCTTTTGTGAAGCAAAACCAGGAAGTCCAGTTGCCTTGAAATATTTAGACCCATTAGCAGTGATTCTTCAAAATTCCAGGCTAAAAATTGTTTTTTTCAATCACTTAATATCTGATCTTTTGAGCTCATATGCAGGAATTGAACCTGTGACCTTCTGTACCCAAAGGATGAGCTGTGCTATTGAGAAACAATTCCTCCTTTCTGATTTCCAAAAGATCAGTAGGCATTGCTTGCCACATTTTCAAGCATAGCTTTCTAATCATGGTGGATAGATTGGATAATGTGCATTTGTTTAATGAAAGCCAATAGTCTGGACTAAACATACCACAGATTGAAGTGACAGTGCAACAGAAAGCAAGGGCTACTTCAACTGCCAATTGGCAATTCAAATTTTGAATGCTACCTCCAGCTCCTAGAGTTCCCAGACTAGTGCCCCATGGGGGAAAAAAAAAATCTGTATTTTTTCTCCTCCCAGTTCTCCTTCAGTTGGATGAGAAAAAGTTTGCTTTCAAATTTTCTTTCAAAGGAAAAGAAAACAGTAGTGAAATTCTCAAGGGTGGAAGTAATGCTCTTGAACTTATTTCGTTCTAGCCAAAGTGTGTGTGTGTACATATCTGTGTGAATGTATAGTCTTCCTGATTCCACACAGGTCAGTTAAGTCTCAAAGGAACACCTCTCATGGGACTGAGAAATCCAAGAAGCCCAAGATTTTCCAGAATGATGGGAAGTTGTATAACAGAAAACGGTGACACCAGCTCCAGACATCCTTCACCAGCTCCAATAGTGAAGGAAGTTCAACTCTCCCACCAAGCACCCTGAGAATAAGAAAGAAGCAGAAAGGCTTCTTTTGAAGGGAAGAAAACTTTTGAGAAACTGAAAGTCAGATTTCCACACAGCTTGGCTACAGATACAAGGTTCCTCCTTCCTCAAATCATAGCCTCTCTGTAGGAGCGGCATCATTCCCACACTCATGAGGAGCTGCCAGATCAATGCATCTGTTCTCAAAGACAGGAGCAGGGACGCATACAGAAAGGCTCAGAACGTCCTGCAAAAAGGCTGGATTCACAATTACACTCCTTAACGGTAATATTTCTTAACCATTTAGCAAGATGTATCAAACTGATGCTGTCTAAATAACCCCCGGTTGTTACTTACAACCAAACCAAACATGGTATATTTTTAAAAGAACTGAACATTAACAGAAGCCCATACAAATACTCACTGTACCCAAGCAGAGAAACAATAAAGCTGTACTCTTCCACATTGTGGATGCTCGCCAGGTCACCACCTTCCTTTCTACACAGAGTAGAAGCATCTTGCCAAGAAGCAGTTTGTCTGCGAATCTTGTAACACCAGCCCACGTAAAATATCCATCCTTCAGAGCATTCCGCCAGTATATCGGAAGCTGAAAAACAACCACCACACCAACAATAATCAAAGTTATGCTTTGTATGAGTATTTATTGATCGATTGATCGATTGCCTTTGTATGGCTGCCCAGCTCAAACCAATGACCTTGGGCAGCATACAAAAATTAACTACAACTATAACCTTAAAGAAAGCAGCACAATACATTAAAAACCAACTAAAACCATAAAATGGCAACCAGACTAAAATATACTGGAGTTTGTGTGTGACCTCTCAGCCAAACATTTTACCTATCTTCTTAGTTGTCTGATTTACAAACCCACCATTCAATCAATTGCCACTTGCTACTGTGGGAATGCTCTGGCTAGGACAGAAGAGGGGTGAGGTGGAGATGGAGACAGCCAGAAGCTCTTTTCCTGTTATTTTTGAAAAACATCCAAAAGCAGAGGAGTTAGGTTGAATATATTACTGATTCACCACAACCTTCCTTGACATGGGCTTACTTATCTTTAGAAATGCACATTCTTCCATAACATGTGAAGTGGCTAAAAGAGAACGGCAGGGTCATTCCTGGAAAGCAGGGCTGGAATTGTCACCTCCAACTTTAGCTCCAGCAGCAGTATTATACCACTGACTCACTGCCATGACCAGATGATGATGATGATGATGATGATGATGATGATGATGATGATGATGATTTTTTTATTATTTTTACAAGAACTTTATTAAGTTTCAACAGAGTAAAATATAAGGAAACAGAAAAAAAAAAGTTGAAAAAAAGAGAAGACCAAAAAAGGAATGAAATTAAAAATGCAAAAAAGTAAAAGTAAAAAGAAAGAAAAAGGATAACTTCCAACTTTCTTTGGTACAGGTCCAAATATATAATACATTCACCTCCTACTCTAATGTTTAAACTAATAAAAAGTATTTCTATAACCATAAAAAAATCAGTCATCAAACCCCAAAATGAAAGTTTCATTTCTTTCCGTTTCAAGCAAAAAAGTCCAAAAGCAGTTGCCATGACCAGATTATTGACGTGACTGGGGAATCAGATAACTGGGAACTTCTCAAAGCAAAATACGAGAACACTGAACTTGGATTTAGGAAGAACTAATTAAAAGCTGTGTGTCCGAACTATCTGGAAATCAGCTAAGGAAGACTGGTTGGGTACCTAAAAGTATCTCACAGAGTATTTGGAGTTTGACAATGAACGAAGAACTCATAGATGCCTGGGCGTGTGGGGAGTGTTCAGTAAGACCTGGACTACCAACATGCCAGGTACAGAAAATCTGATGTTTTGCCGCCAGCTTTTTGCGGGAGCTGGATTCTACTTGTCTTCATTGGCTGTATTGCAATGCAATCATAAAATTGGAGCATCTTTGGCAGCATTCACACAACATGCTTCGCTAGATCAGGGAGAGGCTCGCAGTTGCCTTCTCACACTTCCTGCTCCTGATTTGTTTCCATTTAAGCTGGAACTCGAACAAAGGTCTGTTTCTCAGAACATCTTTAGCCACAGTGGGGTCTGTTTCAGTTTCACGTGGTATGTGATTCTGCAGTTTTCTCATCACATTAATGTTCAGCGAACCACAGCTTACTGGATAAGTGAACTCTATGAGAGAGTTGCTGCATACGTGTGGTTTTTACCCCTCTTCATTTTTCATATTTTTTTTCCTTTTGGCGCAGTTGAGCTTGGAAGGGAGGAACTGTCATCTTTCGTGCTGATCTGAAAACGGCTCTCACAACCTTGTTTCATTTAAAAGTGTTTTTTTTTAATTCTATAAATATTTATTAAAATATTAAAATATAACCTAACATCCTTTGATGTACATCTAATAATGTATTATTAATAAGCACACATTCCTATAAGGAAATGGCTTCAGTATATTGAATGTATGTGTGTATGTGCATATTTGTATATACACTTACACACGCATGCACACACAAAGAGAGGGCATATCTACACTGCATTTTTAAGCTAATTGTATCCTGTATTTCTGCTTGCTTGACACTAAACTAGCTTAAGAAAATCCTGCCTGGACCGGGAGACTTTGCTAACAGCTTGCATGATATTCAATCCAGAGAGAAGACTACCACATCCTCTCATTGGACATCTTATTATTCCAGGAAAGCAAATGCTAGTCATGTTCCTTCCTGTGAGCAGGCCTTACTGACCTTATATATTTTTTATTTGTTTCATATATTTACAAAGTTAAATTGAATTTATACAGTATATACAAAATTAAAAAATCAAAATGCTCACACATGCAGAATAACAACAAACTTTAAAATACAGGTAGCCCTCACTTACCGACCCCAATTGGGACCAGCAACTCCATCACTAAGCAGCATAGTCATTAAGTGAAACGTGACCATGCAAACTTATGATGTCAATTCCCATCACGGTCGTTAAGCGAATTGCTGCGGGTCATTAAGCATGACATCATGTGACTGTGACTTGTGACTTCCTGCTGGGTTCCCCATTGACTTGGCTTTTCAGAAGCTGACTATGAAGATCACAAATGGCAATCACGTGACTGTGGAATGCTGTGACTGTTGTAAATGTGAGCCAATTGTCAAGGGTCCGAATTACAATCAGGTAACCACAGAGACACTGCAATGGCCACAACTTCGAGGACTGGTCATAAGTCACCTTTTTCAGTGCCATTGTAACTTTGAACAGTCACTGAATGATTAGTCGGTAAGCGAGGACTACCTGTAAACATTCATTTATTACTGCCCTGTTTGACTCTAATGTCTTCTAGAGCTGCTCTTCTGTTAACACTATAATAGCACAGTAGTTGTAATACTTGCCTTCCAAATTGAAGGTTTCTAATTGCAAACCTAACAGAAATGTGTGCAATTCTTAAATTATTTATAAAATAATTATATAAATATGTTTATTATTTTTCTTTACCTGAGAGTCCTAATTTTCTTTGGGTATAAGAATATATCTATCTCCAGCAGTGCATTGTTTCACAGATTATTGATTTTTCCAAAATTATAGATTTTGGAAAAACTATGCAATGGTATACCACTTGATTTTTTTTTTTTTTTTTTAGAAAGCCCAAGAAAAAAAAGTAGTAAGCTCAGGGAAAGCAAGATACTATTTTTAAAAATTCCACTGGATTTTGAACCAACAACTTTCTATTTATAAGGTGAGTGTTAGAATCAATGTGCTATTATGGTACTACTGATAAAAGTAGGTCCTGAAAACATTAGAGATGGTAGCAACCATTCACTCAGCTGTGGGGGTCTTTGTGCCTCTGCAAAGAAGTCAGTGAACTGCTGGGGTTAGCCTGTAACAAACCACACCAGCCAAAGCAGACAGGAGCACTTGAGGTTACAATAGGGAAGAAAGAGTACTTTAAAACAGCCACAGGAAAATGTACCCCCATTTTGCATTTGTAATGAGAGGGGGTCAGCACAGAGCAATGTCTTTTGTTTCTACTTTCCAGAAATGGTTGCAGGCCTGTGCGGGCAATGAAGCAACCAGACTGTGCAGATAAGCCCAGAGAGAAAGCATGCTATAAATATGTTTAGGAAACACCTGGATCTGTTTTCAGGGAAAGCCAAGAAGAGGAAACCATGTCAATGAATTGGCATGATAGTTGGGATAGTTAACAAAATATGTTTTTACAAGCAAACGGGTCTTTTCCTGATTACTAGACCTGATATTTCTGTCATACATATGAAATTTGCTACCATAACTTACTGGAATTGGGATGCTTCCTTCTCAAGCTGGAAACCATCTCCTCACCATAAACCTGCTAGTGCTAGGGAACTTCAGAACTTCACCTCAGGGGATGGGACCAGTAAGGTCCAGGAGTTCATGGCTTCCATGGGCTTCTTTAGGTTCAACACATATAGGTGGACATACAACAAACCTCATTTTTGCATCAGAATAGTTGCCTTGTGATCTGGATAGGGAGGAAATTTCTATCACTCCTTTGCCATCATCATATCACTCCCTAGTCCAGATGAGATTGTCAGCTACCAGCAACCTCTGCAAGACAAGACCTATTCATCTCATCCACCACTGGCATCTAAACTGGGTGGTTTCCAAAAATCCAGAAACTTAGGGGAGTTTCCCAACAATCTGGCAGGCAAATCCATCAAGAACCTGGTTGTCCACTGACAATGTGAGGCAACCCAGACTCTTGATGAAATTATTCCCAAATGCCCTTTCTCTGTTGGCCAGTCCTAGTTGGCTTCTTGGTTTACTGAGGATCTGTAAGAGAGGAAGTGGCAGATGTAATGCATAGAGCATTAGCATTGATGGGAGAAGATAAAAAGTAGATCTGACCAAGCACAGGTATAGGCTATATTTGGTCCTACCCTGTGGTGATAAGACAGGCAAAGCTCCTTTTGCTTGTATTTGGTCATATGCAAAAAAAATCCCAACAGTTCCTATGAGCCGAAGCTGCAAAGATCGAAATCCCCATTTCCCCTTGATGTATCCACTGTGATCAGGAGCCAGGAAATGTGGTGGGATAAAAATTCCTGCCAGTGGAAAAATAGAATAGCCAGAAGTCCGCTGCAGAGTTGTTGTTTTAATTTTAAACTGTGGTTTAAAATAAACCTCAGATAAGCCAGAAGTAAATAATGTCTACCTTTGAAGGCAGGCACTAGTGTGATCATAGAGATTCACAGCTGTTTTCTGAATCCGCGCAATGTCCTCTTTTGAAAATGCCCCACGTGCAAACTGATGTACACAGAAACCTTGGGCTGTCAGAGTAAAGAAATACAGTAGGCCCTGCTAAGGAAAGGGTAAAGATAGTTAACAGGGAGGGCAGAAGGACAGAAAGCACAGAAAAAGATTGTCCACAGGATCAGGATGGGAAGACAGAATGAGCTGTTGGGACATTTTGCCACAGACACTAAAGAGTTTGACTTCCTGTAGTTTAATTGTAGCAGTAGAAAAATACCTCCCTCAGCACCCTGAATTCTTATAGGGAAGAAATGAAGAAAGTTGGAGGAGCCAGGACATTTTCACATCAGAGGACAGACAACCATGTTCAGTCTGGTCCTAGGAACACATTTGTGGACTCAGGTTTTTTTTTTTTTTAATCTAAATGGATGTCTTTTGCTTCACATGTTAGTTGATAGATTTTACAGTTCCAGGAAAAAATACTGAAGTAATGAGAACCAGTGTGGTGTGGTGGTTAAGAGGTTGGGCTGGCATCAGGGGGACCCAGGTTGTAATCCATCCTCATCCATGGAAGCTCCTGGGGAGACCTTGGGCCAGTCACTTTCTCTCAGCCCAACCTATCATACAGGGCTGTGGTGGTGGTGGTGGTGGGGGAAATGAGAGAAAGGAACTCTTTGTAGACCAACCTGAGGTCCTGGAGGTAAGTTGGGATATAAATCTAATGAGGAAGTGAAGAAATTAAATGAAAAATTGATACCATAAACCTAAATTATTCCTGCAGAATAATTTAGGTAATTCAACAGGTATCTATTGAAACAATTGTTATTACTGGAAGTTAGAGGGTTCTAAACATGGAATAGTTGACTATATATTCCTGAGTTAGCTAGTATTTGTTCTTAGTACTAGACTTTCCTAGGACTAGAAAATTGAGAGACTTCCCTCTGTATGAACTTTCTGAAAAGACTCACAAACACATTTTAAGAAAACTTAGAGAACGCCATTTTTTTTCCATTAGGGCACCACCAATTTTATCAACTTATCTCCATGTTGCATTCACTAACCTACCTGAAGGAATAATGAAGTTGTTCAGAGTGGCATTTCCTTTTTTACAAATGTAACCAAGTTTCTGATCACATTCGAGGCTTTCCCACTTGGCAGCTTTACCAGGATTTATTGCTCCACAGATCTTCCCAGGCTCTGGCGAAGGGCTTCCTTCAAGAAACAAGTATCGGGCAAGAAGGGTATTATTAACCTCTCACCTAATATCATAAAACTTCATTGAAGCTAATGTAGATGCAGATATAGACAAAGGCTGTGTAATTTGATCAAAAGAAGATTTTTGGAATGTGCAAGAGCCCATAGAAAGCCCACCTCTTTTGAAGCATTTGGACAACCCTACTAGTAACTGTGCATTTGCACATAACAGCACAACAGCCTAATGCTTTATGGTGACCCTACTCTCTTTCAGCCCTTTCTTGCTCTCCCCACCCTGCACCCTGCCTCCCCGAGCTGCATGGGTTGGAAACACAAAGTGCAGGCAATAACATTCCACAACGGTGGGCAGTCCCCAAAAAAAACTATTCTGGAAGACCAGAACTAAGGCCTTAAGGGAACTGCACATGGCCCTGATGCCTCTAGTTGCACATCCCTGATTTAGAATTGTTGTAAGTCAAAATGGACAATTTGAATTAGTAATAGAAGAGAATATCTGTAGCTCAGGGTTGAACTGTGGAATCCTTGGTGTTCTCTGAGCTTGGTTGTTTGCTTACAGACGTTTTGTTACCTGTCTAGGTAACATCTTCAGTGCTAGAAGGGAGGGGTTTGCTGTTTATATACAGTAACTTGCCCTGTCAGTGTTGGAGGGGCTGTTTTCTCCTTGGTAGTTCCTTGATTAGGCTGTTGTTTACTGCTTGATTGTTTGTCTGGTGTTAATCCTGGCATTAATCCCTGCTTATCTGGGTGTTGATTGCTGGCGAGGAGGTAGTTTGGTCTTCTTGTTTCCTTTTTTTAGTTTTTTACTGTCTCTTTTGAATGGTGTGTAAATGTTGTTTATCTCTATGTGCCTCTTGATGGCTGACTTGTCTGAAAGCCAAGCTTCCAGGAGTTCCCTCATGTTTTCGGATTTAGCTTGGTCTAAGATGCTGACAGTTTCCCAGTTGAAACTATGGTTACGTCTGCCCATGTCTTGTGAGATTAAGGAGTTTTCATCAAGCTGAAAACTCCTTAATCCTTAATCTGGACCTCTAGCACTGATGATGTTACCTAGTCGGGTAACAAAACATGTGCAAGAAAACAACCAAGCTCAGAGAACCCCAGGGACCCCACAATTTGAATTAGGCCTATAAGCAAAGGTTTTGAGATTAAAGCATTCAGGAAGAGTAGGGAGAAGGGAGAAGGAAAACATTTAAAAGCAATTTTTATCCAAATATAATAAGAAAAATAAGATGATGTAAGCATTTTAATTTTTTAAAAAAGTAAAATTTAAAAGTGTAAATGTTAACATAAAAGAGAAAATTACCTGGTGCCCAATTTAGATATCTGAAAGGGTAGCCACCACTCCATTGCCATCCACTGTTGAAATCCAAACTGTTAAGACCAAACCAGAGTGCAGAACTCAAACTAGAAGTTAACCCTGAAAAAGCATCAACATTTAGCAATGCATCTGTCTCAGGAATATATGCTGAATGGCAGGCAGCAACAACTACAATGTCTTGGCAGAGACAAAGCATACACTTAGGTGCTTCTCATATTTCTGAAGCAACAACACCATAGAACCTGTTACATCTTAAATTATTCATGATAGTGGATGATCAAGGGTGCCACCTCCCCTCCCAGCCACTGCACATTCATAGTGCATGGTGGAACTCCTGAACAATTGTGAGTCCTAATTTTCCAGAACCACCAATCAGGAAGATAACAATAGGCAGATAATAACTGTGGGCATGTTGATAGAATTTGGCAGGATTGGGAATTACAATAAATTACAATTACAAGGCCTCCTCTTTGGACATAAAATGTACATTTAATGGACATAGATTATTTACCTGTTATGTACATTTGTTCATGTATCTCTGTGATGCCCAACAGATTGGCACCTTGTTGCTGGCAACTTTTACTGGCTTGGAACCAGGTTAGAGCAGCTTCTGGGTTTATTTGATACTGGACACTTGTCATAGGGTCTGTAGTCCAAAATCTACCTGTTCCGTCTGCTAAAAGAAAGGTGCATCAATGTTTCCAATAGTTTTAAAACAATATCAAACTAAATATCTTATGAAGACTAAAACCACATTCCTGAAATTGCCTGCATAACCATAATTCATTTTTAACTAAGAAATGTGAGGATTGCTTCCCATATTCAGAATAAATTCATTTGGCCAAGCAGCTGAAAAAAGCATAAGGCTGCTATACACAAAGACTGGATGTCTAAGTAGTGGTTTATAGAGAGAAAAGAGGGGATTTTGCACTAACCTCTGAACTTGGAACATTCCAGATGTGTGGGCTATTACTCCAGGCTTCCTCAAGCTGTTTTTTACCAGATGTATTAGACCATGTATTACACTCAAGCTTCCATGTTTTATTTACTTATTTGTGCCTTTGAGACAATCTTGACTCCTGGTGACTACATGGACAAGTCCATGTGGTGGGAATGTTAACAGAGCTGAAGGTCATCAGAATTGAGAAAGACTGCAGTAACCATAGTTAGGTGCCACTGAATCGCATTAAACTCTTGGTGAATACCTGGGCAAATGGTAACCACTGTATATATGCATTCAGTGGTAGCCTTTTCTTCATCTAGGATCTAAAGCCTAATTTCATTAGAACACAATATGCTAAATAACATTAGATGGACTAACAAGTTGCGGTTAAGCCATAATGCTTTTTTTTTTTTTTTACTTTAACCAAGCATAATGGGTGAAGCCAATTGTTCACAGCAGCTATAGATGAGCAAATCATCCCTTAGTTTGATGAGTGAACCATAGCTTCTGAGTTTATTTGACGCTGGGCACTTGTCACAGGGTCCAGCATCAAATAATAAGAAAGGAGAAGAAGGCTGGTTGCTGATTCATCAACTGCTTAATACAGAAGTCATCTACTGAACAAGACCTCTGTTGCATTAATATTGACTGAGACCCCAAAAGAAGAGGCAGGCTCCTCAGTAATGAAATGCTTTCAAATGAAAGCTCTTCAATTACAAAATTCAGGAGAGAGATCAGAACTATTTGTCAAACTTCCTGTACACTAGACAGTTTTGCAAGGGCAAACATAAAAAAGACAATGTGCAAAACAAACGTGTCAGAAGGTCAGGATGCAGTTCCACATTTTCCTGAATTAGACTTTACCATCTAAACAGTGCTATAGTTGTTGTTTGACATACCACCCAAACACATACTAATAATGAACAGGACTTACAGTATATAATATGGCCTCTACTTAATTGACTGATGGCTTACAAGGTAATGTCTAGTCATATTGCATATTAACTACATACATATCACATTAACTACATTGACTCCATAATACTGACTGAATTATTGAAACATACTTGATGTGATTTCAAATATACTGCTCTTGAATACCATCCGGAAGCATCAATGGCTCCAGAATGCAGTGGTGTGAGTAGTTACGTCTGCATGACTCGACTCTGCGAGCTGCACTAGCTCCCAATAAGCTCCTGGTGCATTTCCAAGGTACTGGTTATCACCCATAAAACCCTACATTGCTTGTGTGTGTGTGCCTCTGAGTCACTGTTGACTCCTGATGACTGCCTGGACTAGTCCCTGCAGTTTGCTTGGCAAGATTTCAGACGTGGTTTGCCATTGCCATGAGGCTGACCGTGGCTGGCCCAAGGTCACCCAGCTGGCTTCGTGCTTAAGGTGGGACCAGAATTCACAGTCTCCTGCTTTCTAGTCTTGTACTTTAACCACTACACCAAACTGGTCTCCCCCTACATTGCATAGGAGGGGGCTATTTGTGGGACTGCCAGCTCCCAAACGTATTTGACAGTCCCACATGCTTCAGCAGAAAGGACACACTCCAGGTTCCCCCACTGAAGCAATATCACCTTATAGGTCCTAGGAGATGTGCCTTCTTGGTGGCACCCCCTGCTTTTTGGAACAGTCCTCACCCTGACATACAATTGCCCCAACCCTACAGGCTTTCAGAAAGGCAGTCAAGACCTGCCTCTTTCCCCAGAGCCCAAGGTCTGGATGAGCAGAATTCCCAACTGGATGAGCTATGCTATATTTTAGTTCTGGTCACCTTTTATTGCTTTAGTTGGTTTTTAATGGTATGGGTTGTTTTCTCTGTGTTTGTTGCTTGATGATTTTTGTATACCACCCAGAGTCACTCTGTTTGAGTTGGGTGGTTATATAAATCCTATCAATCAATCAATCAATCAATCAATCAATCAATCAATCAATCAATCAATCAATCAATCAATCAATCAATCAATCAATCAATCAATCAATCAATCAATCAATCAATCAATCAATCAATCAATCAATCAATCAATCAATCAATCAATCAATCAATCAATCAATCAATCAATCAATCAATCAATCAATCAATCAATCAATCAATCAATCAATCAATCAATAATGGTCTTTTTTGTTTTAAAGTAAGCATTTCCACAACATTCCGCCATACAATAGTGAAAGTCAACAAGATAAGTGATGGCCATTCTGTATAGTATTTGGCTGCAGAATTCTCCCATCTATTTCACATTACTACTTTTATAGGTTGAGTATTCAGTTGATTAGATGGCACAAGAACACACTGATGCAGTAGGAGAAAGCCTTGTGCCATGGAAGGCATCCAGCAAATCACTTTGCTGAACACTAGGAGATCCAATAGATCTGAAGCTTTGTTTGGTAAAGCCACAAGAAAAATCCAAGATGCATATCCTAGAAGGGCCAATCAGCATTCTGGCTACAGATTATGGGACTATATGGTAGGCAAAACTTCAGCCGTGTGCATCCACTGGAAGCCCCGAGGATGTTACGTGCATCGTGACATCATCATACAGATTATGTAATCTGCATCTATTTGTACAGTGACAACCTAACACTGTGACATCACTTGCACCACCCCCACTTTTACGGATACCCATGGGCTGAGCACGGCTTTTAGTGGGATTCCTCTGAAGATTTTTATTTATTTTTTATTTTTTATTTGTTATTAAATGTATATGCAAATATGCAAAGATATATTGCAAATATGAATTGACCACTGGCATAAACAGGTTTGCACATGATAATAATATATCCAAGAGAGGTGAAGTTAAATTGAGTTTTAACTGATAGAGCACAGTGCAACATACTTCTGCATTTTGAATCTGGTATGCTGATGTAAAAAACAACGAAATATGAAGAAGATACCTTTAACAACCACGGATGGTACTTTTGTTTGCACTTCGTACTAAACAATTAAAAATCCTCTATAATGTTTTTAATTAGTAGATACTTTTAGCACAAACTATTACTTAGTAACACTTCACGATCCAAACTTTTCTTTAAAAATCCTTACATTTCACAGGACAGAATCCATATTTCTTGTCCGAATCATAAGACCTTGTAGTTGAACACCACAGCAAACCATCTGTCCTTCCCTCAAGTGTGCAGTCTGGATACCATTTGCCAGTATACTGGAAAGGAAATACACAAGGAGCTCCATTGCTGTTGCCTTTTAACGTAAATAAGTCTGGAATGAAGGGGAGAACAAATAATTAAAATATTATGACCACTTATGCAAATGCACTCATTCCTAGAGAGAAGAAGAAGGAAGGGCCTCCTGCCAAAGCTAATGGTGGAGGGTCCAAAGGGGACACTGTGAGATCTTCACCATATCTCTACTTGCTGCATGCACTGTCGTGTGCAGAAAAGGGATAGTCAGCAAGAGCAGTGTGATATGGCTCTTTGGATCTGCATGACAATATCAAGGGGTACACTATTTGGTATAGAGAGCCAGTTTGGTGTAGTGGTTAAGGCACCCAGCTAGAAACTGGGAGACCAGGAGTTCTAGTCCCTCCTTAGGCACAAAGCCAGTGGGGTGACCTTGGACCAGTCATCCTCTCTCAGCCTAGGAGGATGACAGTGGCAAACCACTTCTGAAGTCTTGCCAAGAAAACTGCAGGGATAGGTCCAGGCAGTCACCAGGAGTCAACATTGACTTGAAGGCACATGCACACACACACACACGCACACACACACACTATTTGGTATGAATGGAATTGCCAAATTTCAGGGTGATTCTAGTAAGAGGTCTCTCAGTGTTACTCCACTGCTTTCTGCCTTCACCTTGCAACTGCCTTCTCCTTTCCCTCTACCAATTTCTTTCCCATGAAAAAAAGGCTGAACATAAAACATAGAAGATATTTTGGTGCAGCATTGAAGTGTATTACTCAACTGTAATTCCGCATATGACATGAATGAAGAAATGAGGAACCAGAAGGCCTGCACGAATATCTCTGGTCAGATACAAATAGAAGTGTGTAAGAGAGCATTTGATTGTATGTAGCCTATTTAAAGTATGGATCAAATTAAAAAAAAAAACCAGTAGTCCAGGTCTATCTTCCTTTGCTTCAGTATTAAATATTTACTATAAAGAAAGCAAATATACTAAAAATGAGCAATGGAAGGATAATAATTCATACTGACCACAAGATTTAACCTTTAATAAAACAAAGACAAAATCTTTTGAGACTCTCAGAAAGGTCAGAAATGGTTTTAATATCTTCCAGTAAGCAGTATCGTTCAAAAGGAATTACAAAAACAGGGTAGAACATTAGAGATCTGACTGGATTTGAAATGCTTATAACACAAAACTCAGAACATTTGTTAGGGGCATGTATGTGTGTGTGTGTGTGTGTGTGTATACACAACATCTTACAGAAATATGATTCAGAACCTAAAAACTGCATGATTAAACAGGTACATAATTTAAACAGGACAATTTATAAGCAACAATGGGACTATCAATGGAGGGTAAATGTTATGTATACTGTCAATATTATAGTCAGAAAAAAAAACTGATATAAGATTTTTTTCCCTTTGGAATATTGTTGATTGCCAAAATGGATAATCCATATTCAAAAGACTGTTGTAAACATAACAATTAGGTTGGATCATTTTTCTATATGTGGTGGCAATGCCACAATGCTGAGCAGTTCTGCAACATGGTTTATTGTAGGGTGAAACAAATTTTACATACTGACGTTCCTTTTCTATCAGTTTTTTTTTTTTTCTGTGAAGCAATCACCAACCCTTATACTGTATACTGAGTTGGCTTTATATAAGATAATCACTGAGATACACTATGCTTCTTCACGGAAATTACATCCAATCCTTTCATTAGAGGACTGTCGGAGTAAGCTTTGAGCGTATGCATCAATGTCAAAAATAATTTTGTATCTAAAAATAGGTCCAGTACTAACTTTAACTTAATTTGGAAACTGTTTAAGGAATATAATTCTGCCCATAGCCTTCTGCCACATCCAACATTTGGATTTCTTTCAACACAAAGTTTTAAAACTAGTTTTTGTCTGATTGGCCCTAAAGTTATGGATGGATTGCTTCGTATTAATTAGAAATAATAAATTAATTCTCATTATTTTGGCTATTAATTCTTATTATCTTGGCTTCTGATATGATTCTAATATTCATTTTTTAAGAGTTGAACAGTCGCAAGATTGTCTCACTTCCAACCTAGTGTGACTTGTAAGAAGTGTGGGTGTCTTTCTTTTTTCTTTTAATGATTTTTAATTTTTAATGTAGTTTTAATGTTTTGTATATTTTTAACACATTCTTGTTTTTCCCTCTTTCAGAATAATAAATTAATTAATGAATAGTTTTTTCCCCCTGTGCCACTATCTTGACCTTTTTTGACTACCACTCCCTCTGGATGCAAGAGGGAGAAAGCACGCATGGTTTACCTTCGTAGCCCCGAG